AAAATAAAAAATATTATACTGTTTAAATTATATTAAATAATAAAACAAAAAACTCTTAAAAAAAACTCAAAAAATAAAATAAATAAAAGATATTAATAAAAACAACGTGGCAGAATCAGGACCTTTGAGTTTACAATAACAGTTTAGTGAATAAGATGAGCGGACTGATTTCCTCTTTTTTTACCATGAATGGTGCAGCAAACGGAAAAGGATAAAGGGAGTACTAGTACAACTAGAAAGTAGAGTGTGGGACCGCAGCCCCAAAAGAGGATGCAATCCGTAGCGCGATGGGTTCACGGTTCACGGGATGGAATGGAATCGGACCATACCTGTGGGAACCACACCATCCTCGCACCGTCGCACTCCAAATTAAACTTTCATTCTTCTTCTTATCAATTCAAAACGCACTTTTGCTCCGCTAGTAAAAAGAGAAAAGAAACATCAACCCTTCACCACTCACTCGCTTGAGTTGCATCTATCAATGAGAAAGTTAGAAGAAATTTTTAACCTCTAAAATGTGAAAAAAAAAAAATCTTAATAATTAAAAATTGCACCAATAGCAAAAATAAGGTAATATGCTAGCTTTGTTTATTTATGTATAAATATTGAATGACGTTCCAGTAGTTTTTCTATTAAGAAGGAAAAAACAGCCCTAAATTTTTTTTTTTATTGATGGGTCTTTAAGTTTAATACTATATCTTAACTTATTTTATTCATATGGATATTGTAAAATTTATATTGAATAAATATTGTGTATAATAATTGCCTGGCGTATGAGTTTTGATTAAAGCAAATGAATGCACAATGTTACTATAAATATTAAAATTGAAATCAATTGTAAATTTTGTTAACATACTTATATAATATCAGGGTTAATCATTACACAAATCAAAGCATCAATAAAAGTCTAATCAAATTAAGGGATTGTTTAGATGAAGTGTTTTAATTGTTAATAGTTAATATTTAATGGTTGATAATTATTATTATTTATAATTTAAAATATTTAAATTATTTAATCAAAATTAATAGTTAATAACTATTTCCTTATATCTAAAACAAACACCTCTTAATATTTATTAATTTAAAAAATTTAATTTAAATGGAAGTGAACGGCAATAATATTAAATAGTTAGCTTACTTAACTCTTTAATTTTTGAATGGTAACAAAGAAATAATTTTTTTATATTATTTTTTATATAATTTTTATAAATTATTAAATAAGTAAATGGATTAACCAATCATTTTTCCTTGTAAAATTGACACGTGTAGTTTTATCTTACCATTTATGACGTTCAAGTGAGACATTTGTTTATTTCTTTATTTGTTTAACAAGTCCATTTATTTAATTTAATTACGGGTCAAACAGTACAGACCAACAACGTGTAGGAGAAATTTGTTAAGACAAGGCAAAAGCCGGCTTCCTTAACAGAAGTTGGTGACCGCCTTTTCGCCTGACTTGATCGGCGCCCTCTCCTCTCTCTCCCCCTGTCGCTTGTCATCTTTCCATTTCTCGGGAGGATTCCTCCCCTCCCCTTCCCAGAAACTTTGGTCCTCCTCTCTTCAAAAAAAATAAAAATAAAAATAAAAACCGAAAATAAATTGCAAAACTTATCAATATTATCCTTTTTTCCATAATCCATTCCGGCAGCAATCAGGTTTTTTTTTTTTTTTTTTTCCTGTTCATGAATTTTTTTAAAAAAAAATTGTAGTAATTATTATAGTTACTTCGTAATTAATGAGCCCAGTTTAATTTTTATTTTTTCATCCATCAGATTGTTTTCAAATTTAATGTACGTAGCGTTCTTTTAATTCTTCTTATGCAATCCTGAATTTATTTTCCTGGAGTTGTGTTAGATTGAAGATGAGAGCCGCCGTGCGTTACCTCCGATCACCTCTCCGGCAGCAAAGACGTAATTATTCCAGTAGTTTGGTGAAAAGCCGGACTTCTTGTTTAGATCGCGGTCCATGTTCTGCTTATGACGCCGAACTCAGTAGAATTCTACGCCCTGCATTCATCATATCCAGAGCTTTGTCAACCGGTGCCGCTAAAGTCGCCGATGGAGGTTTCCGGATCACGTTTCCTGTGCTTTTGTTCTTAATTATTGCCAAACCTGAAAATTAAGTTGTCAATTTTTTTTTCTTTTTTTTTTTTGGCCGTTGAATTGCAGAGGTGAAGACAGCAGGGCCGCTTGTTGAGTATGAAAGAAGGATCTTTGCCGGTGAACTTGTTGATGGTGATGCCTGCCAGGTATGAATTGTCCAAATATTTGGTTTCAAGGGATAAGGATTGATTCATAAAAGTTAATTGACAACAAAATGTCTAAAATTGGATATGTTTCTTTGTCTCCTGTTCAGTGCTTTAATATGAAAATTATCTGTGTATATGGTGCTGGAATGTGTAATTTTGAATACTTGAATCTTGCTTTAATGGAATTTTGTCCCTGGTTTTAAAGCCATTAGTCAAACTATTATTTGTGACGGTTTAGATATGTATTGCCAGTCAATTTTAAGGCTTTTCCTTGTGGAGGTGATTTTGATTGGTAAATTTTGCAGGTAGGTACTTTAAGAGAACTGCAGAGGCTTTATGATGAGCTTGTAGAGTCAGCTGATGCCTGCCATTTGGATCGCTATGCAGCTCCTGAGAAAACAGTGAGGTAAAGTATCTGTTTCATTACTTGTATCCTTATATGCTAAAACCTCTATTTTTCATTTCTTTTATTTGGATTTGGATCTGGTAGAGCCATTCATTTCTTGTTATAACTTACTTGATGTGACATTGGCATTTTACTTTTGAATTGTTTCTGTGGTTTCACTTCATAAAGCAATTTGCAAGTCAGACACTGGTTTTTTAATTGCTTTCAGGAGTGGCTGGTTTTGGTATCGTCTATTACCACAGTCTTCATACTCCCCTGTCAGAGGACTATATCTTTATGGAGGAGTAGGCACTGGAAAAACGATGTTGATGGACCTGTTTTTTGCTCAATTGTAAGTTTCTTTGTTTGGCTGGCTAAAAGAAGAAGAAAAAAAATTCAATTGTAAGGTTCATTAACATAAATGATTTTCTTTAACAATATATTAATCTGTCAATGAGGATTATGAACAGAAATAAATATTACTGAACTGGAATCCGGGTAATGAACATGTCATTCAAGCATCTATATTAATTTTCAATAATCTTATTCTTGTTATTGCCTATGCCTACCTTTCCTAACTGCTTTTGTGACTGGTTTTCTCTCCTAATAATCATTTTCCTCCCGTTCAGGCCCAGCAATTGGAGGAAAAGAAGGATTCATTTTCATGACTTCATGTTGAATGTCCACAGCCGCTTGCAGGTGAGAATACATATTAATCTATTTCTTTCAAGTGAAGGAAATTGACTCATAAGAACAAAAAATCTCTCTCACTAGGGACCATGGCTAATATTTTTTAAAGTGATAGATTTCTTTTATTGAACTAGTTCTTTTCCTGAAAAGAAAAGTAGTTCAGCTCTATTCCATACTCCTATCTCCATGTTATTATATCATCATTCCAAGTTTCATTCCTGAACTTTACCTTGCATATTCTCTATCTTTACCTTTCCATCAGTGTATGTATTTGCGTCTGCCTGTGTACATATTATGGCAGTGCATACTTTATGTTATTCCTTTTCCTGTTGTGAAGGAACCTATCTTTTGTAGTTAGGACTTGCTAACAAAATCTCATTACGTTTGCTATTTTCATGGCACTTGGTGATACTTTGATCCTGAAATGAGTCTATTCCAATGACAAATTCTTGCAGAAGCACAAGGGTGTGTCAGACCCACTTGAAGTTGTTGCAGGGGAGATATCTGATGAGGCAATTTTGCTATGTCTAGATGAATTTATGGTAAAGCTCTCGTAGCACCATAATTAACACCTAGGGGGCAAAAAAAGAGAAAAAGACATTATTGCTTATTGCTCTGCTTATGTTTCTGGCCTCAATTGTTGATTCTACTGTCTATTTGTTCTTTTGTAGGTGACTGATGTTGCCGATGCATTGATATTGAATCGTCTATTTAGACATCTATTCAGCAATGGCGTTGTAAGTACACATAATCTTCTTGTGTTTATTTTCTGTTGTCACCCAGTACAATATAATTCCATAATTTCAGCCTGAAATTAATATGAAAATCATTGGCATTGACTCTGGGGGGAGGGAAGTGTAGATTCTTGTTTCAACTTCAAATCGTGCTCCAGACAATCTCTATGAGGGTGGGCTACAGAGGGATCTTTTTCTACCCTTCATTGCCACTTTGAAGGTATGAAAGTAATTAGATATATTATATCTCAACACAGTGTTTTGAATTCATTATTTTGTATAAGGTTAACAAACTTGACTAACTTATGTTACTATAGGAAAGATGTGTTGTTCATGAAATTGGTTCAGCAGTAGATTATCGTAAGCTGACTTCGGTACGGTATCATCCTCTCTGTAGTTTTGTTTAACCTTCACTTTCTGTAATTATAACTTGTAATTGTTATCTTATAATATCTATTACAGGGTGAGCAAGGCTTCTACTTCATTGGCAAAGATTTATCTGGTCTTCTCAAGCAGAAATTTCAGAAACTGATAGCTGAACAAGAGGCTGGGCCACAGGAGGTGGAACTAGTCATGGGAAGGACATTGAAGGTGAGTGCCAGACTGCAACTACATTGTGTAGAATGCAATGCAGAATACTTGATTGTTCCTTATGCTTTTCACTCTTTTCTTCTATTTAGGTTCCAATGGGTGCCAATGGATGCGCTTTTTTTTCTTTTGAGGATCTTTGTGACAAACCACTTGGAGCTGCAGACTATTTCGGATTGTTTAGTAAGTCATGTTTAATTTAATTGATTTAGCTGTCTGTAATCAGATTCTTGTATTCAAGCTCAGTTAGTTAGGATAAGGTTGTCTTGAGTTGTTAGAATCAGGCCATTATAAATTAGAAAACCAATGATTGAGATAACAAAGTCCTTTAGAATTAATTATTTCCTACAGGCTACATGACTTAAAGCAACTGATCTTGGCGGCACTTGTGACTAGACAAATATGTTTGTTACCTTCAAACTGCAGTCTCCCTTCACAAAAACGCAGATTAGGAATCTTATACCCTTATGGTTGGCGCCCCTTTGTGATGTTAATTTGGCATAGGCATCTCCACTTTGTGCTTCTGAGCAGCACAAACTTTGGTTTTCCAAAGAGGTGTCTCCATTTTAGAGATCTTAAATCATCCTGGATTATATCTTATATATAAATATTTTTTTTGCAGAGAGCTTTCATACACTTGCATTGGAAGGCATCCCAAAACTTGGGCTTCAGAATAGAACAGCAGCATATCGGTTTGTCACTTTAGTTGATGTATGCCTCATTTCTTTTTGTAGGTTTGACTGCTTTACTTTTCTTAGGATATAAGTTTGATTTTGCCTGAAAGTTCTATTTTTTTTGGTTAAATGTGCTGAAAAATCTGTAGAAATCGAATGAAGACATTTTCACCAACTTATAACTGCAAAACTTCCAAATTCTTTGATGTCCATAGAAATTCCTTAACATTTCTGTTTTGGCGGTTGCAGGTGATGTATGAGAATAGGGCAAGACTGTTATGCTCGGCTGAGGGTAGTCCCCAAGAACTTTTCGATAATATTGTAACAATCTCAGATGCAAAGCAAATGGCACCTAGAACCTCTTCAAGATCAAGGAGAAGTGATGATTCAGATCTTTGTGTGGATAATGAATTGGGATTTGCAAAAGATCGTACCATTAGTAGGTAAGCTGCCTCTTTTGATATTCCATGGATAATAATATTGCATTTTAGTACTAAACTCAGTTTTCTTTATACCAACTCTACCACTGATTTAGTGTTTGAGGGCATGAAATGAGATATTTCTGTTATTAGCGGAGGATTTGACCAACAGTAAACATTTATAGGAAGCTATAGGAATAGCTAAGCCTTATGAACCCAACATGATCTTAAGGTCTTGATTTGGAGATGGGAAATGGCAGTACATGAAGGGGGCTTATGATTTTCCTTCTGATAATTAGCGTTCAGTATTTTACTTTCCCTTTTCTTCTATGATAACTGGTATCTAATTGCTGTTGATGAAAATATGCAGATTAACAGAGATGAACAGCAAAGAATACCTTGAGCAGCACGCAGAAGAAAGGCAGCTCTCGCAAGAAGTTGCAAATGGAGATGCGGTCCTAGCGTGATGCATAAAATAGAAGTGTCTTGTATACTAACCAGGGGTTGTTGTCACCAATAAAATTACATGATCATAAAAGTCACAATCCACAAAGTTCAGTCAGTTGATCCAAACCATTTTTGGTTCGATAAATATGGAATCTGATATTTGTTCATATGAATAAAAAAAAAAGTGAATCCATTATCCACTGCCTATTCTGCAAGACCTATAACATAATCACAATAGAGATGTATTTGCTCTTGAATTTTGAAAAAGAAGAAGAAGAAGAAGAAGAAGAAGAAATAAATGGAAATATGATTGGGATTATTACTCCCTTCATCCTAGAATAAGTGGTTGTTTTAAGATCAGCCACAATCATCAACTTCTGAATTCGATCATGGGGATTTTTTAATAATCAAAAACTTAGCTGGGGGAGAATATGAAGAAAAACTGAATTTGTGGACTAATTTAAGAGTTATTCCTGTAATTAAGAATGAAACGTCTAATTTTGTTAAACTATTTACAAATCTAAATTTTTGAACTTAATCTTAAATCAAATATATTTTGGTGCTATGAAATTTAATTTATTACAAGTAAAATAAAATTTTATTGTCTTAAATCCCAATAATTATGTTTGGTTATTTTTTACTAATGCAACTTTCTAAATTTATTTTATCTAGAAAAAAAAAAAAGAAGGTAATTTCAAAATTAGAAGAGGTCGATCGGATATTTAAGTCCCCCAACTTGATTACGCGCCCGAGCTCCTGAATAGGCAAGGCATTACTCGACCATCCGCAAATATTGATATTCCGTCGCTATCTCCAGCTCTTGGTGGCCATCGACGTTAAAAGGTATCTATAGCTTCCATCCATGTACGTATTAATTTGTTTGTTTTTAATTTTCCTTTCTTTTCTTTTTTTTTCTCTAAACTTGTTTCTATGTAATTTACATGCATGCATTTTTGTATGTGGAATGAACCCGCTTTAAAATTTAAATGTAATGATGTTTTTGGTTTCAATGTCACGCATTTACATGTCATGGGATTTGGTCTTTTTTTTTTTTTGGTGTTGGGATTTTGTCTATGATTTGTTTCATTGGTTTCGGATTCATGTGCAAGCCAAAGTCAATTGAAACTATCAATCAAATTCACGGACATTCAAAGCCAATGCCGGTATTAGTATTACATCCCTTAGCATTTTAGGCATTCAAATTATTTCTCTTTACCATTCTCATTTTTTTTTTAAACATATAATAATAGATTATACAAAAAGAGTTAACACTATTTTTTTTTTCAAATTTCTTTTCATTCAACTCAATGTTCAAATTTAAGATTTTTAATTTAGAATATCAAAATTTTAATAGTTGGACCAGCCCGTTGGGTGTAGCATTCTCATGTTTGCATAAAAAAATTCCGGTATTAATTAATTTTGGATCTAACATGGAATTCTTAGCAAAGGGATAACCATGATGTTGTATGAATTCAAGCTTCCGTTTTTTGTTAAGATTAAAAAATTTTAAGATTTTGTTTTGTGAGCACAGACACCTATCATTCCATGTTTTATGAGTTACTATCTTCTAATATGTCCTCTTTCCTTGCAATATGTTCTCTTGAGATAGAATGGCAGCTAATGGCAGTGCTCAGCTGACTTTTAAGAATGCTATTGGGGCTGTGAAGGATTCAACAAAAGTTGGATTGGTAAAAGGAAATGGTGATAACAAGGTGACCTTTCATTTGGGAGTTTTTTTTTTTAAATAACTATTTTGATTGATGGTTTGAGTATGTGAAAAATTTATTTTTGTGTGCTCCAGAAGCTGGATATCGCAATTGTCAAAGCCACAAAGCGCAATGAAAAATTTCCAAAGGAGAAACATGTTAAGAGTAAGTGAAATTTGCTTCTTGGCTTCTGACATGTATTGTTAAAGTCTCATGTTGAAACCAATAGTCTTAAACACATGCTTATGACTATTATAGTTGATCAAACATCAATAAAATCTAATTTAATTGATATATATGTCACTGAGATATGATTAAGAAAAGGGAAAATTTTGCTCTAGTTAATTCTTCCAAGTTAAATGTTATCTTCATGGTTGAGTTTTGGATAAATGTGCTGACTATTGCTTCCCATCAGCTATCTTCAATGCAGTTTCATGTTCAAATCCTCGTCCAGTTGTTGTGTTCTGCTTGCATGCTATGGCTAAGCGTCTCTCTAAAACACATAACTGGACGGTATCTCCTGGTCACCCAACCAAATTCAAACTTTTGCATTCACAGTGGTTTTGTTTTCATTACAAAGTACATGATATGGCCAATGGTTTACAGAGATTTGGTCCTTAATTTTTTTTACAATGCATCTTACTAATGTCAATCGTTCCATCCTGTAAAGAACAAAAGGAAGGAAGAAGAAGCATGTGCAACAACTATTTAAAGTTGGTTGATGTGATATTCTCAGGTTGCATTGAAAACCCTGATTGTTATACACCGTGCACTGAGGGAAGTTGATCCTACATTTCTTGATGAGCTTATAAATTTTAGCCGGCACAGAAGTCTTTCAATGCTGAACCTTGCACATCTAAGGGATGATTCAAGCACAAATGGTATTTTATTTTATTTATTAGTTTCTTTATTACTTAAGTTTTAATGTTTGAGGAACTAACTGCTGAGACAGTTTCTATTGTGTCTAGCTTGGGATTATTCTGCTTGGGTTCGTGTTTATGCTTTGTATCTTGAAGAACGTTTAGCATGCTTCAGCGCATTGAAATATGATGTCGAGAGAGAACAGTCTGTATGTTGTTTCAATTTGAATGTTACTTTTTATTTCTTTAATTTGTGCTTCTGTTTGTTACATCCTTTTTACCTATTATTAGCAAACACCAAAAGAAATAGAAGCAGCATTGAAACACTAAGGATTCACTCATTTTGTGATCTAGAGATGTGTAATCTTTTCTTTTGATGCATAGTGAACAGCGTAATAAACATCTTGACACTCAAGATCTGCTTGAGCAGTTACGTGTCCTACAACAGCTTTTTTCTTGCCTTCTTGCTTGCAAGGTATACATCCATGGATTTTTAATGATCCACCTCTTCATTCTGAGAACTATTTCAGTCCATATATTCTTCAGTTTTGAGCTACCCACACCGTCAGCATACTACAGTCCTACTGATTCTTGTCATTTATGCAGCCAGAGGGTGCAGCTATGTACAACAACTTGATTCATTATGCTTAGTCCATGGTAACTAACTGTGGCAAAAGCTTTTTTTTTTTTTTTAAATACCATTTAGCTATCCTATTTTTAATGTTTTCCCTCTTTTAGATTGCAGGCGAAAGTGTTAATTTATATGTTGCAATTACTGACAGAATTGTACGTCTGGTTGACAAGGTGACTGCTATCACAATGTGATGCGAATTTATTGGATTTGTGTTTTTTTCTTCTTGAGAGATGGATAAAGAATGGTTTATACATTTTTCTTGCAGTTTTTTTGAAATGGATCACCAGTCTGCTGTCAGGGCACTTGAACTTAATCGGAAGGCAGGGAGTCAGGTATCCATCTTTTTGGCACAATTGTGTCATAATATACTAAGGCGAAAGTTATTACATGGAAAACTTGATTTTGCTACAGGCTGATCAATTGTATGAGTTCTTTGAGATCTGCAGAGCCTTTGAATTCGGACTAAAGCAAAAATAAGTTAAGGTTGAACAGGTGCTGAACCTTTCAGTATGACATGGTAACTGTTCCTTTTCCTTGAATTCTCGGAGACTTCCCTTAACTTCCATCATTTTCTAAAAATGCAGCCCCCAGCATCCTTTCTTGCTTCTATTGAAGAGGATGTGAATGAGGCTCCACAGGCTTTAGTGCTTGGATGTAAATCAGTATGATTTCTTAGTGCTTTCCTTCTACGTATATTCTAGTGTCCTGCCTACATTTTGTGCAGAAAATTTATGTCATTTTCACATAGATTGAAAAATTAAGTTCATGTTCTTCCCTTAAGAATTGAAATTAAACAAGCTGTCTGAATAAACACATAACTTTAAGTCCAAAAGCTGTGTTAAATAAAATTAATAGATATAACTTGGCTAGGCTCTTGTTGGTGCCTAGTTTATGTTTGATTGTGATTTCATTTCTTACCCCAACAGATGAGTTGTTCATTAATGGAACAAAAACACGAAGACACTGATGTTCAGGAAAACTTAAACCCATCCGTTCCATCACCTGACACTCCACAGAGTGATCAAAATCAGGCTGTTGCCACACAACAGGTTGCTGATCTTCTGGTAAGGCTTTTCTTGAGCTAATAAAATTGGTATGTGAATATGACATTGCTCTTCTTCACATTCTGACTTGGCCTGTCTCGTTATATGCAGTGCTTTGATGATATAACTCAAGAAGCATCATGTGTGGATGAGAAAGACCCACTACCACTTGGAACAGCAACTTCTAATGAAGCTGCTATTGCAGAAAGTATATTGGTTAGTATCTTCAAGCAGGAATTATTAGCTGATGTTGTTCACTTTGCCATGTAGATTTAATTACCATTCTTTGCTTTGACATCTACTTGACCTACCAAATAAATTTCCAAGTTCTAGTGCAGTTCTTCTAAATTAAGTTACCTGTCGGGGTATTAGTTCAAGTCTTACTTGGGTATTCATTAAACCAAATTTGTGCTAGATCTTCCTACATTATATTGTGTAGGTGTAAGTGTAAGCTTTAAGCTTTTTGAAAAGTGCCAGTTAGCTTTTAATTTGATTATGGCTAATTAATCTTCAAATGCAGGCTGGCGGACTAGACTTATTAAAACCGGACAGTCTGTATGATGAAGCATCAGCTAGCAGAACAAACCAGAATCAGGTATCCCATAATCCTTTTGAGGATGATTATTACAATGAGGACCCCTTTTCTGCTAACGATAGCATTGCACCCCCAGCCAGTATGCAGATGGAAGCAACCGCTCGACATGAAGCTTTCTTCACGCAGCAACAGGAGCAGCCATCTGTGCTCAATACAAATTCAACGGCCCCCTCTGGAAATCCTTTTGTCGTTGAACAGACGATGCCATCTCATCCAGCTCAGAATTCCAGCTTGATTTAGGGGTCACAAGAAAAAATCATGTCAAAATTTTCCCCATAATCTTGTAGACTTTAAAGCAGAGGGAGGTGAAGCAGAGATGAAACGGGGTTCATGCTTAGGTTCCTCCCAAGCCGGGTTGTACAGATTACAGAAACTAGTCATCCTCCGAAATCAGACTTTTAGGGTTATGCCTCATCTCCAATTGCAGCCCATGTTTCCATTTAGAGACTCCTGTTAACATTGTGGTATAAACCTGAACCTCTAGCGTTAGTCTCTGCTCTACTTTCTACCCCTTTTCCCTCTCCTCCTCCTCATGTGCCTCTGCTTGGTAAAATGTTGTTTTGGAAAGCTGCTAACATATTCGAAGTACAATTACTCTGCAGCAGGGTACAATTTTCCGGCGCCAGTGTTGTTGAACAGGGGAGATTACCCCTTTTTTATTTTTTCAAAACTTTAACATGGAAGTCAACTGGAAAATGAAAGGAGAGAACTGCACTGCAACAAAATAATTAAATACCAAATGAAAGAAACAATTTATACTGTCAATTTACAACTCCATCCAACCAAGGGAAATTCTGACCAAACACTTAATTTCTGACATAACACGTAGAAAAAAGAAATTCCTCCAAATTGCATCATTCTAAGTTCTCCACATTTACTTGTAATCTTTAATCCCACATACAAAACATATCCCTCTTGTCTCTTGTATTGTATCATGCCATGTATCTCCCCTATCCATTTTTTTTACCATAATTTCCAAAAAGGAACCGTCATCAGAGACCACCTCAGCGTTGGAATGATATAGAATAGGAGCCAGTATTTGGATCTTGGACAGCTTTGAAGTTATCCACACTCATCCCAAAACGGCCAAGAACGGAGTTTCCCAATTCTTTCATCTTAGCTGCTCAGATTGAACAGTTTTATATATGGTTAGTCAGGAACAGTTTGACCTCTAAAATGTGCTCCTACAAATATAGCTTACGATTCTACTTTAATGTCAAGCAACCAGGACCCGATTCCCTCTTCAATTTGAGAGTATCAATTTTCCAGATAGAATTTGGGACCAGAAGGCAGAAAATGTTCATTATCAAGAATAAAAGATGCTCAGAGAAAATATTAGGAACTGAAATCGAGTACTACACAGTTTGCTATTTGCATAGGTTTTCAAATTTCAAGGCAGTACAAATCACTGAAAGCACCATGAATAATGGACATACTTTCCATCATTAGACATGGGAACTGCTACTCCATAGAATTTCATTTTAGCATAAACTGTGTTTTGGCATATCTTGCAAATAGAACATCTAAATTTGTTATGTTAATGACAAGATGTTGATTAACATTGCCTCTACAATGTAATTCAGCAAAGCCTCCATAAAAAAAACTTACAAAAAAGGTACTAAAGAACAAGATCCATAAGGGTTCATATCTCATTGTTTAAGAAAAATGATTCACGTTTGAGTTTAGAGAAAGGAAAGCAAAATGTAAAGAAAAATAATTTATGAAGCTTACCAATCATCTCCTCTTTCATCTTTTCACGCTTTTCTGCAGCAAGTGGTTCTAAGCAACAAATTGCTTTCCTAGCCTGGTCATTGGAAGGGTCTAATTCCAATATTTTCTTCATATCTGCAGATTGAAAAGAAAAAGCATAACAAAGACTTCAAAGAGGGGCAAAGTAATGTTTTAGCCTTCAAACAATATTATAGGATGCAAATCAAGCCTAACAATGTTAAAATAACTGGTTCAACAATGATCAAATCTGACTTACCAACAATAGCCTCTTCATAGTGTTCAAGCTTTTCATGAGCTTCTCCTCTCCTTACAAGAGCTTTTATGTACGAAGGGTTAAGTTCCAATGCTTTTGTGCATTCCTTGATTGTCTCATTATATTTTCCCTGACATATGTTTAGGTGCACCATTGACAAAAATTAGTTGAATATTGGATTTATTTTCATTCCCTTTCTCTGATGAGTCAGTTCATTAATTGGCAATTTACTGGTAAATGGAATGACCTTTAGATGAGTCTAGATTCAATAGAATGAATGCCCAAATTATCAAATTACAAAAAATAACTGCTTTTGTTCCTAAGCACGTGTCCTTCCCTTGTCTAACTTGAAATCATTCAGATTATGTTTGCCTTCCGTTGTACTCTCACTTATGACACTTAACCCAACAAAAAGCAAGAGAAAAAGTGCACCAGAGGTAACAAATTT